ATTGTTCACACAGCCGGAAGTGTGGGTGGAGGGCAAGGCACTGAAAGACTGATTGGTTGTGGTATTATGATGAGGAAAATAGTGATTATAGGGATTATAAAAATGGGTGTTTCAATTTCAAAACCATTAATGTTCTACAAGAATTATCACTTGGCAAAACTGAACTACAACTTCAAAGGGCCGCTTGCCTTCCTTCCTTCCTTCCTTCCTTCATTTCTCCATCTCCTTCCCTTCCTCCTCCTCCCCTCCTCTCTCCTCTCTGTCTTTTCCTCTGTCTCTCTCTGTGTCTCTGTCTCTCTCTTTCTCTTCCTCCTTCCTTCCTTTTTTTTTTTTTTTTTGATACTGGTATTGAGCCCAGGGCCTCGTATTGAGCTACACCCCAGCCCTTTTTTAATACTATTTTATTTCAACACAAGGTCTTTCCATGTTGCTAAGCTGTCCAGGTTGTGTTTGATCTATATCTGGCACAGAGTAGGGACGAATAATATTTGTTGAGTAAGTTTATTGTCCCAGTTCTCAGCAAGCATGCCAAGCAATCTCATGTTCTTTCTATTTGAATGATTTCATTTAACCCTGAAGGAATTGTTCCTTATCTCTCATTACTGAAGCAACTATGGACTATTAACAAAAAGAAGAAATGCAAGTTTAGGTGAGAAGGTAGAAAAGGGAACTCTTGTAGACTATTGGAAATACAAATCAGTATAGCCACTTTGAAAAATAGTATAATATTTTTTCAAAAATATAAAAATAGAAAAATATTATAATCAAGACTATAAAAACATTATAATCAGTCTTACTTCTTGCTGTATCAAAACCTTGAAATTAATATGTTGAGGTGATCTGAACTCCCATGTTAATTTCAGCATTATGTGCAGAAACCCAGATATGGAAGCCATCTCACTATTCATTAATGGATGACTAGGTAAGGAAAAGGTGGTATATATATATATATATATATAACAACACACTACACAACCTTGAAAAAGATGGCATTCTGGCATTTGCAATAATGTGAATGGAACTGGAAAATGTCACACTAAATGAAATCACCCAGAAATAACCCAGAGAGCAAATACCCAATGACCTCACTTATATAGGGAATCTTAAACAGTTATGTCACAAAATTAGAGAGTTGAAAGCTGGTTATCAGAGGCTAGGAGTAGGAAGAGAAGGAGTTGGAAAAGAGGCAATGTTGATCAAAGGGCAGAAAGTTTCAGAGAGACTGAAAAAATATTTTAGTGGACTTTAGCACCGCACATTGACCACTATAATGTCTGTGTCAAAACCACTAAGATAATAGATATTTAAATTTCTTACAACAAAAAGAGTTAATTGATTTAATATATATGTATATATATGTTAATTAGTTTGATTGAATGTTTATGCAGTGCATACATAGATCAAGACATCATGGTATACCCAAGAAATATGCACAATTATTATAGATCTAGGAGAGTTAAGCAATGAAGAAAGAAGAGAATATTGTGTCCATTCTGAAATCATGCCATGTTTAAACAAAAAAAAAAAGGTCATATTCAGGGGAAGCAGAGTAGGGGGGGCTAACAAGTACATCAGCCAGGAATTCCTCATAAAAATAATTAAATTTTAATTGTTGCTCTGGGACATTGTCCCTCAAGATTTTGAAATTCAGTCTAAGGTCCAAAAATGGGAAAAAAACCCTCAGGGGACAGAAATTACATTCATCCTTTTTATTTTAAAAATCTATTAAAGGGGTGAATTGGATTGTAGCATATCTTATTTGTAGTTATGAAAGGAGATTTATTTTATCTTTGTGGAGTTGTATCACATAAGTATCACCTGTTTTGTCTTTCATAGGGTTTTATTCACATGCATATGTGGAGGAGTCTCCCATTAAACAGACTGTTTCCGTACTTTGCTTATGATTTCAGGTATGCTTTCTCCATATACCTATATTCACAGGAGTCTATTAAGATGATAGTAATGTAATATAATAATAAAAACTGTGAGTTAGTTAAAGGGCATATTGGAATTACTCAGACTTGAGTTAAAATTATGACCTACTAAGTACTTTGATAAAGTTGTGTAGAAATTCTGATCTTCATGTTTTCCTTTTAAAATGAGTATAAAGACATTTCAGAGTTCCTGTGAAGTTGAAATTAACCATCTGAAAATTATATAATAAAATGCTTACTATGATATAGAATCATAGTAGGTTGTTATCGATGTCAGTTTTTTTCCTTTGTGACTTTCTTCTCATCCAGAGAGGTTTTGGTCGGGGGAAAAGGTGATTTATTTGCCTTCAGTGAGCATCAAAATTTCCTAACGTTAGTTTGATGTTTCCCAGTGAGTTAAGGTCTGGTTCTGCTGCATTGAGGTCTGGTTCCCTGTTAGGCTCCTCCCACTATTTCCTCTGCCTCCTCCGAGTTTTATCAAACACCTGTCTCAATTATCTATTCAGTAAAATTTGTGAAACATTAAGTGGAAAATTATTATATACAGTATAATTCTTAAGCATTTCAAATGATGTTTCTATTTTATCAACTTATAATTCCTTTTCTAGCATAATTTTTATACCTTAGTGATGGATTCACTAGAAAGTCCTTTTTTGCCTGATTGGTAAGCTTTCCTAATATTCGTACATAATCATGATAATGTGATGATACATATTCTTTATTACTCCTAGTCTTTTAACATCTCAGCTCTTACATTGGTTTTAACAATAAATTTTATTAATGAACTGATGCCCTACGATTGTCACAATAGGGCTGGTATGAATTTAAGACTTTCTTTGCTTGTACAGTGAGTTGTCAAGTATTAGTAATATGATTGCATCCAATAGACTTTCCAGGCTTACCCCAATTAAATTTATAGCAAATTGAATCAACCTGGATTCTATACAATACAACTGGCCATAATTTATCAAGGATTGACAATGTGTCAGACACTTTGCTAAAACTGCTAGATACACTTTCTGATAGAATTACCAAGGTGACCTCATGAATTACATGCTAGCCTAGTTCATGTTTTATAGAGGACAAATATGAGCTTAGAGCAGTTTAGACATCTCCCCTAAGTGATCACACACAAAATGATGGAGTCAGAATTCATATTAGAGTTTTTCTTGTCTAGAGTCTATGCTTTTAACTCATACACTGTATTGTTTCATCAAGTTGTCCTGGGAAAATGAAGCATTACTAAAACCCAACAACATTAATGCTATCTATCGTATTTATGTGAAAAGAGGTAATGATTTAATAACACATTGAAGAAAAGAGGATATTCACTTCAGCTGATGTATATTAAAGAGATTAGAGTTAGCTTTTGCAAATCCTGATATTATGAAAGAATATTGAACCCGGCTAATTTAATTAAAAATATTTTAAGTTTCTTCCTGTAACTTGCCCATTGGAAATATTAATCAGTCATTCATGTAATGCAGAAGATACTTAAATTCTGTATCCATTTGATGACAAATAACCTGACCTACAGTAGAAGACAGCCTTACATTCTACCTTCTTGGCATGAAGCCACACTGGCTGCTTGATTTTTCTCTTTACAGGCATAGATGGCTTCTGAGTATTCGGCAGTGTAGTTCAGAGAAAAGAACTATTGGAGGGTAAGTGACTTTGCTTTACCTTCTACTTTAACTAAAAGCCTGGCTACCACAAGAGTTGATTTGTTCTTCATCTAAGCTTATGAATGAGATGAAACATGGTGTGTTCTGATAGGAGTGGGACAGATCTAATAATAATTCTAGCTGGCTTTCAGCAGTCACAGCCATGGGAGTAGATGAAGAGGCTCTTTGAGGGGACTGCAGTCCCAGGGGTTAAGGTACTATCCTATGTTTTTTAAATTTTTAAAATAGTGTCCGAGAGTTGGACCAAAATTCTCTGCACAGTTTTGTTTAAATGCATATGGACGTAGAACACAGACTAATATTTTTATGTGGTCTTGTTCCTCTATAGTGATATAGATGATGTAGACACACTCTGTACATGGGTGTTGTAGATGCCTGTGCATATGCTTAGTAATTACTCACATAATCTTGACAAATTGTTTAATGTATTAATGACATACTTTTCTGTTACTTTTTGAGGGTTGCTAATAACTCCCGTTCTGTACACTTAATGAAAAGCCTCTAAAGAAGATCACATGGCATTCTGACAGCAGTTATCAGGCATGAGACATTTATTATCTATGCCTGACTCTGTTGTCTCATATGTTACCTCACTCAGTCCTGCATCAACTCTGTGGGGTTTATGCTGCTTTTGCTCCCACTATGAGAGAATTAGAACTGGATTGAAGAAAGAAAAAACCCTAAAAAGTTAGAAGAAAGAAAGGGCAAGGGAGCTGCTGCCTGCCTCTTGTTTCTAGGACAGTGTTAATCCCTAGGGATCTTCATTAGCCCATATTATCCTAAGTTGTTGCTCTGAAATGCTGTGAAGTAGAAAACAGTTAAATTTACTAGCACGGTGCTTCAGCTGAGAGCAGATGAGCACAGGCAGGATCCTCAGTAAATAGACTACTCACTTGAACTTGTCTGATGTTTTTAACTACTGATATTTCTCCAAAGTAGCTGTTCTTTCAGAAAAATGGAGCACATCACTTTTGTTATATGTAGCCATCATTTAAGATTCTTTGAACACATTACTTTATTTAATGCTTAAAATCCTTAAAAATTGCTTCTACTCTTATCTGCATTTTAAACACCCAGAAAGCATCGTGGATCACATCAGATGAGAGCCGGGAAACTCAGGATCAGCAAGGAGTGCATTCAGGCCCATTCTGTCTGGTGCACAGTCTTTGTGCTTCTGGGGTCAGGGTGACTCAGGGTAGGAGGGGGATCGGGGTGACGCAGGAGCAGCCTGGCAGCTGCACCCCCTTTAGGTATTATTACTATGAGGGATTCCAGACCAAGACTTCTCTTTTCTTTCCTCATGTCTTTAGCTCCCAAATTGATATATTGGGAGCTTGATTTTGTCTACAGGTGATTCCAGAGCAGAGCACTGGTGTGGAAAATGGATAAAATGAAAATGAACTCCACTGTGAGTGAATTTTTGTTCCTGGGGCTTTCCTCTGATCCAGAGATACAGCTCCTTCTTCTTGTCCTGTTCCTCTTCTTCTACCTAATAACAGTGGCTGGGAATGTTCTTATCATCACTGTCATCCAGATAGAGCCTCGTCTCCAAACCCCCATGTACTTCTTCCTCACTAATTTGTCCTTTCTGGATATTTGCTACACCTCCACCAATGTCCCACAAATGCTGTCCAACATGGCAGCGAGGAAGAAGACCATCCCGTTCTCTGGCTGTGCTGCTCAGATGTACTTCTCTCTCTCCTTTGGCATGATTGAATGTGTTCTTCTGGGAGTCATGGCTTATGACAGATATGTAGCCATCTGCCATCCTCTTCACTACACTGTCATTATGGACCAGAACACCTGTGTCCAACTGGCAACTGTGTCCTGGTGCAGTAGCTTCCTGAGTTCCATGGTCATCAGTGCCCTCACCTTGACTTTGCCCTACTGTGGGCCCAATGTCCTGAATCACTTTTTCTGTGAGGTGCCCTCGGTTCTCAGGCTGGCTTGCACTGACACGTCGATTACAGAACTGGTTGTTTTCATCTTCAGTATCGTCATTGTCTTCATCCCCTTCCTCCTCATCGTTGTTTCCTATGCCCAGGTACTTCTATCTGTCCTGAGGATGCCGTTGGCCTCGGGGAGGCACAAGGCACTGTCCACCTGCACCTCCCATCTGACAGTGGTGGCCTTGTTTTATGGCACGGCCATCTTCATGTACATGAGACCTCAGTCCAAGTCCTCCCGGGCTGGGGGCAAGGTCATTGCAGTGTTCTACACTGTGGTCACACCCATGCTCAACCCCTTGATCTACAGCCTGAGGAACCAGGATGTGAAAGGAGCTCTGAAGAGAGCACTTACAAAACAGAGGAAGTGAGAGGCGCTCCTCCTGACAAAGTTGCCTTCTGAGTAGGAAGAGGGAGAGGAAACTAGTGTGGCCCTTCACTAAAGATGTACAACATCCACCTACAAACTCAATGAGAGAAATGTTTTTATCACTTCTTCCTTGATATGAGAGCTGTAATATGTCCCACAACTGCCCGCATTGAGAGAAGGCTGTTCTGTAAGTCGCTGGAAAGTTTACTTCTGTAAAATCCTACACTCCGTAACACATCTCTCTCCTGTGTATCTGAGTCACTTTAATCCAGAGAAATCTGTTTCCAGCATGTGTGCAGAGCTTCAGAGTCAGTGCTTTTAGGTGCAGTGTCCATATTTACATGATCTGTGTAGTTTGTAAGGAGTTAGGATTCTGCATGCATCGGATTGGAGATTTAGATTTGATGCTAATCTCCACATGTACAATCTTAATACACCCAGTAAACACTAACGCATTTCAATTTGACCTAAACTCTATCTTCCCCCCAAGTTCTCTGATAGCGCCACTTCTCCACATGTTTGGTTATGTAGTCAGTTTCATCATACAGTAGTTTTTGTTATATTTTATACTTGGCTTGTTATACAAATGACTAATCATTTTATGGATTTGCTTACTACCTGAAGTTTCACTAGAAATACGTACTTACAATTTTTTTCTGAACAACTTATTTAAAGCAAGAGATAACATTTGAAATTCTCCCTAACATCATCAAATAATGTAGCTGCATATACTTTAGAAACAGCACTATTTTTGCAAAGAGAAATAAAAAGTTCATAGGCGTATATACTTTGAAAGTTATTATTTATAAAAATTACCTCTCAATTCTAAAAATTGATAAATTAATAATTTATAAAATTGCAAAATCATTCTCATAAGGCCACATTTATTCAAAACTTGTAAAATAAGTGAAAGTCAGTATTTTCTTTTTAAGAATTCATTATTTGAGCCAACTACCTGGCCAACCCATGGATTTTTTGACAAGGTGGTAGCTGTCAGAAATCTGGAATTGGGTGGCCTGAAATAAATAATGTGATCCGGACACCTCTGGCCCTAAACTAAACTGTCATGTAGGAATCCTCAAGCAAAATTTTAATCTTATGTTTGTTTCCTTTGACATAAAATGAAAATACACTATTTTAATTTTATTAAGTGGGCAATTCAATGCTGCAATCATCATCAGATACAAACTAGAGTGAATTGTTGGTCCTGCACATAATTTAATATCTGATTACATAATTTCCTCTTTAACAAATTGTAAGGTAGTTTATTGTCATAAACTATGCATTCTCAGTGCCTGATTGATCAGTATTATTGTCCATTATAAGTGACTATATTTAAAAGAGAAAAAATATAACATCAATGTTCTAAATTAGCTATATGTACACGGAAGATTATTTATTTGTACAAATCTCAGTCCTTTCATTTGTAAATACAACGTTTGTTGGGCAACATATCTGTGTGTCTATCAGTCATCTCAGTATTTCAGCTCTGAAAATAAATTTACTCTAAACATGTCAAAATTCATCCTGAAAGGACTATTTTTCACTGTTTTATTTGTCTGGTTAATAAAGGACAATAACGCAATGTTGAAAGGTTTTAATGTCATCGCTCTGGTATGAAAGGTATAATAAACACTATTGCAGCGGACACCTCTGCCCAGGATCAGCAGGCTACAGCAGCACAAGCTCCTTGCCCCTCCATAATCCAGCTGTGTTACACTGAAAGTAGCAGAGCTAGGCTGAGTCCACTCTCAGTCAGGGTCAGCTGACTCCAGCTAAATTCCTCCCCCCCGAATTAACCCTTTGTTCTCTTCAGCAAAGATACACTTGTACCCTCATTCTACAGTCCTGCCTGCCTGACACTTGTTATCAGCAGGTGTCCCGAGGCCCGCCCAGTTTCCCCCTTCCCACGCTTGTAATGAAGTGGGTGTCCTGGGAGTCCTTTGTCCTTGCTACCCTGAGCAGTTTAGATCAGCCCAAGACTCAGTGTCTCTCAAGTCTCTTTCTCTGTGTTTCTTTTAGTCCCCACTTTCCTATCTTGAGGACATTGTACTGGCTTAGAGGAGGCCAGGACCACTGCAGGGCTCTCTGGCAACTCCCATTATCCTTTCCCTATACACTATCTTCTTATATCCTGTTACTATTATTGCCAATTGGTGTCTTTCCATTTAACATAAAACAATTGTTCAGTTTTGCAGCAAGAAATTATGAGGATTATAGAATAGAACAGGGGAATTAGTTTCATACTGAAAGGGATTTTTTTTAACTGCTTTCACCTTTTCAGCATGATCATAACTTGGAAATGCCTCTTGGATGCATCTTTTATTTGGTTTCTATGTGTATTCAAGCTTTTCTGACTTCTCCAGCAATGATCCCACTCACTGCGGTCACAGGTGAAGGTGGATCTTTGGACCACTGGTTCCCAGTACTATCCTGCACACATGTTGATGAATGAATCTAACCCCACTCCCCAGTTGAGGACAGCCATGTATCAAGCCTTTTACAGAGGTGTCCCCAATTTCTCCAGTTCTGATCATGACCCAATTTCTACACTGGTGTACATTTCTTTATTCTATAAACTATTGGGTAGTAATTAAAATTTTTTTCTAGCTATGCCTCTACTACCTGCAAGTTGAGAGCACATTGATACACCATGTAAACTTCGCTAACTCCTGTTTCATGGTTTTAGGAAATCGGGCCACATACATTCTTTTAGGAGTCTTAACCGCTCATATATACAGTATTTCCAGTAGGTTTCCTGAGATCCAGAACTGGGTCTAGGTTTCATCAGCAGGGTTCTATCACTCATTGGTTCAAATAATATTTGTTGCTTACTAACTATAGTCAAGGTGTGAGAATAAGAAATGAGCTTTTCTCAAAGTCTCAAACTGTCCTCAGGGAACAATCGTATTAAGGTGTGTATGTTTTAGGGTTAGTGGAATTATATGCATAGCATAAATCTATTAAATCAGCAAGCCACCATCTGTTAAGCCTAGATGTACATAAATACCCTATACTTTAGCTTCTCATATATTTTAATATGTGAACAAGAGCACTTTTGAGACAGAAAGGGGGCATTGTTAATGTTTAGTCCAGAGCAACTGGAAAACACCCAAGTTGACTTCAGCAATAGCTACACTTGGCCACAGCGCTATTATCTTGCTTAGCCCTCATAGTAACCCTATGATGTAGATATTGTTTGCACTAATTTACAGATTTGAAAATCCTGGAGGGTAAATCCCAGAATGATTTATAGAAGAAGCAATGACTGGTATGTATAATTATTAGTAAAAGAAAAGTATACAAAGAGCAAAATGTCACGGCATATTTGAGTTCAAAGAGCCTTGAACTTCTGTGCAGAAGAGAGTGGCTAGGGTCAGAGCTGAACGTGGGGAATTTCAGGTGTCATCGGTGGACATATTTATGATGTTGATTTCAACGTGGGCTCAGGTTCAGTCTCCTAAAGCCAGGTCTGGTGAGGACTTATTAGCTCTTAAACACTTGGTTTAGCAGAGTTAAACAGAGAGATGCAACAGATTCCTTCTATACTCTTTCACATGCCTGTTTAAAGTAGTACAATCAGCAAATGTTTGTCATGCTGTTCTTGCCACAAATATTCCTTAAGTGTCCATTATGTGTTTGCTATTATGAGAGGCAAATCTGAGTACCTCTTAAGTAGCATTGGCCTGGTTAAAGAGGCAGGGAAAGGTAAAAGTCAAAAACTACACTTTTAGAGGAGACTCTGGAACATGAAATGGACCAAGGAGAAATAATGCCAGAGAGGCAATTTTGGGACGAGAACCACAGGTAACAGACAAAGGATTCTGGCAGCTTTATAGTTCCTGAGCTAGGGAGCAAGGGTAACAATGGGATACACAAGGAGTTGTAGACCCTGGTATTTCCTGGAATCCTTCCTAAGACTTGAGCCCAAATTCTTCCCTTGGGAGAAGACCTGACCTGGAGTTGAATGTCAAAGTTGCACTGAAGCCCCATTAGGAAAAGCCATACTGGCTGTGCCTTTAAACCTGATTCACAAAGACAGAGTCTACTTGGACTTCCCAGCTTATTGGCTATGGTCCCATACTAGTTTCCCTACAGGCTGTTCTGCTGGCAGATATGTGACAGATATCAGGGAGTAAAGCAGAATGTTCTCCAAAACTACAAAAGATAGACTCCCTGCTCCCCAAGGGATGATTTTCATGCTCTGAAACTGGTATCAGATCATTGAGCTACAGTCCAGCTTCGCCGTGAAATGCTGCCAGTAGACTCCCAGTCCACAGGCTCACTGGACGCAGCCCATTGTATCTGAACACTTTGCCTTTGTTCACTGTATTTCACCCCTCTGCTCCATGTTCCTTGACTCATTGTTTCCCTCTTCAACTTTGGTTCATGCTTCAGAGACAAATGCAGTGCCTTGTCCTTCATGAGCCTTTCCTCATCTCTCAGAAAGGAATCTGAGCTAATATTGGACTTTGCTTGTGGGTCTCTTTTAACCTATATTGCCTCTTGGTGTGTTCCAGGGTATTTGGGTTTATTTTATCTCCTTATAAGTGCAAACTCCATGAGAACAGGTATATATCTCATATTATCCATCAAGTCTTAAGCACGGCTTATTAGAAAAATTCTCATGCGAGGTCATATAGGTAAAGAAGAGAGGAAGCAGAATTGAATCTTGGCTTCATCTCATGAGGACACCTCCAATCTTGACCACACTCCAACCACTTTTCCCCTTCATAGCCCTGAGCACGACAATACCAACTCTGTGTTGATATAAAAACCAGCAGTTCATATGGAGAACATGATTGACATGTTTACCATTATGTTATTATGACTGTAATGTGATTTTAATGTATGAAAGAAAAGCCATGGTTTTTAAACCATAAGTGTTTATTGATCCCTTACTTTTGTGCACCAATAATATAGATTAAGGTATAAATAATAGTTCTCATTTTTTTTTGAAGAAAGGGAAGTACAGAGAAGATGAAGGGTTTGTTTCAGATACTTATTGGTGGGAATGGTGATTCATTCAACTTATATACATTTTTCTCTTATATCCATTGCAAGTTTATATAGATAATCTACTACCAACTGGTTGGAAAATAAAACATTTAGTGCCCTCACTTTACTGTAATGCATTGATGGCATAATTATGGATTGTTAGTATGTAAATGAAGGGGGAAATAGAAGGTATTAATGTTTGTTAATCATCTTTTAGTTGGCAGATAGCTTACAGAGTTCATGGTACACCTTTTGGAAAATCCTAAAATGTAAGCATCGTCATTCTGATTTGGTGGATGAAGAAATGAGCTTGGAGAGATTATGTAAATTGCCCAAAGTTACATAGCTAAAAATAACAGAATCGACATCAGAGCTCTTGTCTAAATAGTCCAAAAAAACCTGAATGTTTGCCAGTAGCCCATAGAGAATGGAGTCTGTGGGTTCTATTTCTTTAATCACTGATTCTTTACAAGTCTATTGACTGTCATTATTTTTATTATTTTTTAAATGGGATAATACCCATCCCTCTTGCTCTTGTAAGAATTTGATGAAATCTAAACTACTTTATTTATTGAATCAATACAGCAACAAATTGAGAAAAAAACAATCTTTTACCAATGAGGTCACTTATTAAAACCTTACAAATCAGATTCCAGAATTTGATTCCAAGGTGACTGTGCCTTCAGCTATAATGTGCAGTTGGCTTATAGTTAAATGGACAGGAAAGCCCTATTGTATTTCATTAGCCATTCACAATCTACACATTTGATTACCAAACAAACCGAAGGATACATTTTTGCATTGTTTCCATATTACAAATTCTACAACTGTCCATTAATCACAGCTGTTCTTTCTCCAGAGTGCCACAGCAATGTTATCTTTGGGAAGTTCAGAATATGACTGACTAACCTTAAACAAAATTGATAACCACTCGTGAACAGTGGCACTTTAGAAAACCTGGTTGATAAACTCTGATTTTTCTATTCCTAAAGATCTTTGGTGACTTTATTGATAAATGTAAGCATTTGGTACATTTCGGGAATCACTGATCTTTAACTATATAGCTCTGGGGAAAGGGTTAGAGAGAAAGATTATTGCTTGACAATATTTCAAGATCAAGGTGTTTGGAATTGTAGCACACCTGAGAATAAGTTAGTTTTTTCAAGGTTACAGGTTCAGCACCTTGACTTAATGCTAACATCTAGCCCTAAAATATGCACAGAAAATATATTTTTCTTGATTTGTCCATCATTCACATACCAGGGTTATGGAGATTGTTATTTGATAAAGGCCTGGGCATGATGCTGAAAAAAGTGAAACTCCTTGGAAAAAGTCTTGATCTAATTAAGATTAGAAGAGAGAAAAAAATTTCAGACATTACGATCTTGCTAACAAGCACTTTGGAGATTGTGGTGCCTTTTCTCCGGTCTCAGAGTTGTACAATGTATCTGGGGGCGCAAGGGATGTGGATGTGTCAGACGTCCTCAGGTGTGCTTTGTAATATAAAGTGCAGGAGACCAAAGGGATCCTGTGAAACCAACCCCTTGACCAATGGGAAAGCTGCAGAAAAAACAAGAAGGGGTCGAAATGCTTACAGGCCAGGTAGTTACCAGCACAGCTGCATGGACTCTTCTCCTTAGGCTCTGAATAGTGCCTGATTTTGTTCTTGGTGGCAGCAGATTCAGAGGGATGGAAGAGCAGAGGGAAACACAAGAAGTTCAATGTTGGCGAAACAAGTCCTCCATTGACCACTTCAGGTTCTGTCTCCAGAACCTTCCACACAATTTGCTATTGAAGGCTTTGCTGACACGAGTGGATCCATCCCAGACTGAGTTGTATGTCCCCTCACACCAACAGCTTTTCTTGTAATTTTATCTAAATTTTCTGACTCCCTTTCAGAGTACAAAAAATTCAATATTTGGACTTGACATTCCTTATGACCCAGAAAAATATACGCTTAGACTGACTAGCTATCTCTCTTCTACTGTCTATTTCTAATCAACGTATGGATCAAATTTAAACTGATCAAATTTAAATAGCATCTTGCTGAGTCTATTTTTCAAAATTTGATGGCATTTCTTTCACATTACACAGCTGAGTTACAGAGAACCCTTTTAGAATTTAAGATTTGCTAAGCAAGGAGACAATGACATGAGTAATGTTTATGGTAACGATTCACCTTGTCTACCTCCTGCCTTCATCCTTCTAACCCTATTAGTTACCTCCGGCAAAAGCAGATTTTTTGGTTACTATTGTGGTTTTTTCCCAATGAGTTTTTTGAAAGCAGCTTTTACATCTTTGTTCCGCAGACTGTAGATCAGGGGGTTCAACATGGGAATGATAATCGTGTAGAATACAGAGGCCCACTTATCTTGGTCCAGGGAGTAGCTGGACGTCGGCCGCAGGTACATGAACATGACTGTGCCATAGAAGAGAGTGACTCCAGTGAGGTGAGACGCGCAGGTGGAGAAAGCCTTGAGCCGACCCTCCGTGGAAGTCATTCTGATGATGGCGACGAGGATGAAGGCGTAGGAGATGAGGATGACGAGGATGGTGCTGAACTCAATGAAGCCGCACAGACTGAACAGCAATATCTCACTGACGTAGGTGTCAGAGCAAGAGAGGGCCAGGAGCGGCGGGATTTCACAGAAGAAATGGTTGATGATATTGGAACCACAGTAATTGAGGCTGAAAGTGAGGGACGTGTGGGCCACTAAACTCACTAGACCAGCCAGGTAAGAGCCCAGCACAAGAGCTGCACAGACTCGCTTGGACATGAGAGTGCTGTAGTGCAGGGGTCTGCAGATGGCCACAAACCGGTCATAGGCCATCGCAGCCAGGACATAGCACTCTGCATCCACAAAACCTACAAAGAAAGCAAACTGTGTGGCACAGCTGGAGAAAGAGATGACTTTGTGCTTTGTTAGAAAGTCAGCTAACATCCGGGGTGCTATGGTTGAGGAATAGCCCAGGTCAACGAAGGAGAGGTTGCAGAGAAAAAAGTACATGGGTGTGTGCAGGTGAGTGTCTGTTATGATCAGGATGATCATACCGATGTTCCCCACGACACTGACCAGGTACACAATGAGGAAGACCCCGAAGAAGGTGGTCTGCAGCTGAGGGTCTTGAGTGATGCCCAGGAAGACAAATTCAGTTACTGTCGACTGGTTTTCTTTATCCATGACTCCAATTGTACACAGACCTGGATTTGGCTTATTGACGAGGGTGGTAAATCTGTCACTGGAAATACTCAAATTAGAACTAAATAATCATACAGTTGAGGTTTTATATGCAGAAGTAAATGAAGATTTTGTTTAGGGTGACTCTCAAAAATCCTTCAGTGATGATTGGGTGACTGAGACTGCTATGTGGCCTCTCCCGGTGCCCACACACAGAAGAAGATGGTGTTGGTTTCTTGGGAACGGCACGTCCTGTTTCTCCAAAGCTCCTGGAGCTCTGCTGTCATTCAGCGCATGATATCAGATGTTTGTTGGACCTGGTTTAGGCAGTTATCTGATTTATTCGTTAGTAAAGAAGAATGGTTTTGAGTGTTCCTTCTGTCTAAAACAAAGCAAATATAAATGCAGATAATGCATAAACTTTAATTCTCACTATAGGTCAGGATAGAGAAGAAAATGAAAGGCTCTGAGATGGCAAAGTATCATGTATCATATGCACAAATAGAGAATGTGAGATCTTCATTGCAGAGGGTCAGAAGTATGAGAATAAGCAATGAAAAAGTATTTTTATCAAGTAATTTAAGTGCATGATATAAATTCATTCTCGCAAGAGCTATAAAGAGCTGGTATGCATCATGAACTCTATCTTAGACCTGAAGAGAGCACTAGACATTTAGCAACTTTCACAAAGTCAACAGCTAGTAAGTAGCAGACCTGGGTCTGACTCCATGTCCTTTTCAATTTATCACCTTCTGTGCCTGTGTGATTTGGTAAAAGGAAAATCAAATTTAGTGCACTTTTCTTTTTCCTGCCCTGTCTGTTGTCCCTAGGCATAAAAATAGTCCTTTAGTTTCTCTGGTCTTTGAAGGCTCAGAAGTGAGGAAACAAAAACATTTCTGGATAATTCTGTCCCCTAACCAACAGGCTATTTCATAGCCCAGTCCAGAGGTAAGAGCCAGGGATCCACTAGGAAGAAAAGAGAAAGCTTCATACAACTTGGTGGTCACACAGGAGCACAATGCGTTTTTTCTCATTGGTTGGATGAATATCTACTGAATTGCACAACTGAGTGTATTGGGCCAAAACAAACCAATCCAAAGGAAAACAAGACAAAACTCAAGGAAATTTAGAAATAAATAGCATCATTTACCTAAACCTGAGGCGAGAAAGACCGCATCTGCCTTAATTGGTTTACCACCTGGCAAAAAAGCTTCTGCTTTTGTTGAGCAGTATAATGTGTTTTTCTTGGGGTTCTGGCCATTTGTAAAAGGTTTTTCTAAATCCCAGGATTTAAGAGTGATGAAAATGTGCCCCTTGCTTTCAATTTCCCCATGGAATATAATCAATCACAGCACAGAAGGGCATCCCAATAATAACAGCTATAGTCCCAAGAGTTTATAAGACATTTATATCTACTTCTGTTCAATTCATAACTATTATGCTGTGAATGTGTAGATCACTTTGTACATTAGGTCAATCAGGAAACAGAATGAAAAAAATCACTTGGGAAAAATTATTTGAAGAACTTATTTCTGATAAGGAACTTGTATCCATAAAACAGGAAGATATTTTAAAACTCAATAGTAAGAAAAAAAACAAATGCAATCAAGAAGGGGTCTGAGGTTTCTACAGATATGTGCTGAAGAAGGCATATGAGTACTCAACAGATGCATGAAAAATGCTTGCGCATTTTCTGTGATGATAATTTCATGCATACATTAAAACATCAAACTTCATAGTTTAAATACATTCTATTCATTCTATATTGGCTGTTCTTCAATACAGCTATCTAAAACAAACAAAAGACGTAGAGCACTTGGCAACTCCACGTCAGCTCATTATTACTACAGAGAAATGCATCCATCCTTTCATAAGTGAGGTTCATTAAGATACAAAACTTGAGGCTGAGGAGGCTTGTAAAGCCACTCTGTGAATGGTATAGAACAAAAACAGAATCTGGGACTGCCAGTTTCCACAGAGGGTGGTGTTCAGTTCCCCTTGGGTGTTTCACATAGGAAAGGAAGACAACCCATGAGGAGCAGGACAACAAAATCTTCACCACTCGTTAGCCTTCTGTTGTACTTTAGCAAGAGAAAATTACCCTATTTTTGAAAATTCAAAATTTTATAAAGCAAGGAAAAGGCCCTGACTTCATTCTCTAGAATGTGGGTGTCATAGCAGAATGCGGTGCTGGAGGGGGATGCCACATAGCAGGGGACACAGAACCAAGGCTCAGGACTCTGACCCGAGTAGGATCTGGCAGAGTTTGTTTCCTTCAGCTGAAGAATGTGATTAGAAAAGCCTTCTTTCCTTCTCTGTAGATTCGAGGTTTTGGTTAAGCAAGGCAGTGGGTGAGAAAGTGCATCGCCAGTCATTAAGCAATCTTTTGTAGTGAGCACACGAGTCTAGGATTTATCCTTGAATACTAGGAATCTCTATCTTCATGAGGTGAAGGGTTTGGTTTCCATTTGTTAATTAGGGTTAATCATACCTGCCTTAATAACTTTCTTCAAAAAAGGGTTAGACAGTATATAATGTGTTGATTTCAGTGACTGTTGTAAAATGATAAAATGATACAACTGTAAGAGCTGAACGTACTTGCCAGTGTGTGTAAATATTGGCCTTTTCATTCCAGAAATGCGTGTGCACTCATAACTTCAAAAGTACTCATTGCTTATCTCCCAGCACTGATGCATCAAGGTATATCTTAACCTTCAGGGAGAAAGGATTTTAACTCCATACTACATCCACTTTATGAAAATGCACACAGAGGCCATGCTATGCAATCCAAAATCAGGGTTTGACCAAGCCAAAAAAGAAAAATATCTTAGTACGTTTTAGTTTTGTGTAGCTAATGTTCACCCTGGCTGACGCTTGAAGAAAGGACAGAATATTGAGAAAATGAGTATGAGTACATTCTATTGTTGATAGCAAATTTAAGTATTTAATGAGACCAGCAAGGCATTATTTGTTGAAATAAAATTATATAAAAGCATTTTAGACTTCTATGTATGGCCTGAAGTAATGAAAGTGCAATGCAAGCAATGGTAGAGCCAGAGCTTGGAGATCCTGCTTCTGTTCCTTTTTTTTAGCAATTAAGTGTTTGATCGTGGTCAATTGCTGCACTTGGTGCAGTGTTTTTCGCTGTGAGTTGGAGGTGTGGAGAAAACAGATCCCAGTGAACTCTCTAATCCTAGCATTTTCTGAATTCGGATTTATGACGAAATAGCTAAAGGCAAACCCATGGGCTAGCCTCTTTGAAAATTTAGAATGGCAGGAGCCTGGTGCAACTGGAACCTCTACTCCATAAAGCACTGGACTGAGAAACCCACTGCAGCTGGTCACCTCTCCTCCTGCTGCCTCTCCAGTGAGATCTGACTTGCTCCCCACCTGTTGGGAAGAGGTGAAGGTCCCCTCTTCTCCAATGCTTCATACTGAAGCCAACATTTCTGCAAAACATCCAAAGGCAGACAGCTCCTGGCTGTCTTTTCAAAATTCCTTGCACTTCCCACCTTTGCACCCATGTGCAGGAGGCAGTTAAATCTCAGAAGAGTTACTAATTGCTTCCCAGCAGAAATGTGATGAAATGATTCTCTATGCTCACAGGAGACATCGAGACCTGAGGAGCTGTCATCCCCTAAGGAACTGTACTCTCTTCTCTCAACCTTAATGAAAACGAAGGAAACAAAACATTTTTAATGGTCTGTAGTGATGATTGAACCCCTTGTAAAATTGCCTGGGCTCTTGCCCAGCCTGCATGTGCCTACCTGGGGCCATTTCAAGGGAAACTGAAATGATACCTATAAATTCTTTGAGAGAAGAGGATGTATTCAATGACCCATAGAATGACATTAATGCATTGTCATAAGGGTTAAAGAAAAAAAGAGATAAATGTTCTTTATAATTAGAAACAAAGCCAAGGCACACAAGGAAACTCTGGGAGGTACTGTATGTGCCCACTGATTGCCAGTTGTAGAAGCAGTGTTGTCATATGTGAAACTCATCCGATTGTATACATAACTGTGGAGTTCTTTGTAGAATATCAATGAAGAACCAATACAGGAATTTTAAAAATTGTATTGAGGGGAATCAAAGAGCTGATGCAAACAAGTTCTTGTGTAAGTTCTTTGTTTAAACTTGTATTTATCTATGAAGAAAATAATAAGGATATATTTGAAAACCCTCATTCCAAGTCCTGTATGACCTGCTACTCTGGACTCTCTTATGGGTCTTTGGTCACTCGCAATGGAAAGAACTAATGGATATTTCCTTTCCAAGAAACTTTGAGTACTTTCTTTGGCAAGAATACCTTTTGGATTTCATATCCTAGAAGATTGAAGAGTTGCATTTTTTTCCATTTGTCAATAAACATAATGCTTATTTTAATTAATTTATCAGGCACCACTACATAATGAAAAAAATTCAGGTGTCTGTACAGACATACAAAATCTTCATAAATACAACTGTCAAAAATGCAGGATGCTATGTTCACCCTTTAAGCATCTCAAACAATCTTGCAACATTTTAGATTAAGACATAAATTTCCAGAGTTAGGAGAGGTCTTGCTAAAGCTCTAAGCCCTTTTATCTGTTTTGAGTTATTTAATTGATTAATTCATGACTGTTGTGTTTTATATCAAATTTATTAAATAATATTCCAGACTTATATTTAAAGTACATTTACATGTAAAATGGAGATAGATGTAAGGCTTAGACAGTCACACATAAACCATTCCTTATGGGGTATTTGGCATCTCCGTTGACCAGGGGTAATTTTTTTGTTAAGGTTGTCCTGTACCTTGCATGAGTTTTGTATCCTCTCTCGTGATTTCTATGGTGTGTTCCCCCAGCACTATTACAGTCTTACATTTTCATAATGTCCCTAGAGGAAAAACACCACTTCCACTGAAACCTCTTTTAAGTTCTAGGCACCTGGTATTGAATGATTCTTTTAAAATAAGTGGCACTGTACAGTGATTCATTAAGTTTAACGTTTAATGCCAC